TCCTTCCTTCCTTCCTTCCTTCCTTCCTTCCTTCCTTCCTTCCTTCCTTCCTTCTTTTTCCTTTTTCACCCATAATGCCACTTCTCCAGTGTCGCTGTACATAACTGGAAAACATTTCAAAGAGAACGATCTAAAGAAGAAGTCTCCAACATTCTGTTACAGGACAAATCATTTGTCAAACCACGTTGTTGAACGAACTGACCTTCCCGATGAATTGTTAGTGAACAGCTCTGGCACCGAGATCTTCAGTCAGGAGTTACCACGAGTAAGTGAACTATGTAATGTGAATGTTTTCAACTCTTATCATAGCGGACACCCTCGACACCTCCACTTGGTGGCTTAATAATACCAATGGTCTACAATAGCGAGACTTAATTACGGTGATTTCTTGGTCAGTATTTTAAACTGGGCATTTTGCCAGCAATAGCAAGGTGTCTGTAATATCGGAGTGTCCGATAATTTAAGGCAAGAGTTGACTGTATATGCGGAAAGTAGTGATGTGCACTGTCAATACATCTTAATGTGGTCTTGGGTTCAATACTCAGACTTAACCGTGCTTTGTGTGAGTAGTGTTTGTTTCTCCTGTGCTTCTTAACTGTACAGTGTATACACCTGTTTTAATAAACGTTGTCATCGCCAAAGGCGATATGCAATAGGCAATAGGCGAAAAGCTATAGGATATATGTCATTCCAAGATCCAAGAATAGCTGGAATGACTTGTGTTTCTTCTTGTTATTCTCGTCAAGARYATGGACCTTCGTGCTGAGACTGATTCGATGTTCTTTGTATTCAACGAAACCATTTCCATGTCGGAAATACCTATCGCCTACCGCCTTTGGCGATGACAACGTTTTAAAAATTAGGTGCATATATGGGAAGTACAGGTGTGCTTGCTTACAAACAAACATATTTCTATCATAAGTATCCTGATAATGGGAAGTTACTATGAACATAATTTTGATTATGTCAGATAACTTACTGTCTGCTACAACTCTATTTAAGGTGTGGGCAATCGATAGTTTCCATGACAATGACGTCAATGCTGGATCCAGAAAGCTTGTTGATGAACATGCAAGGAACTTTGGAAATGAACGAATCTTAATGCAGGTAACTTTCGATATCTAGATTAACAAAGACTTTTTTCCACAACATACATTCTGATCAAGCTTGGGTACCAACAACACCGTCAAGGCGCGATGAATGTTTGAACCCAAGGTGGACCAGAATGCACCATGTTGGTCATCTTCTAAAAGAAATATAGAGCTTTGAGTTTGATGTCAGTAGTACAAAAAAACGACTTTCGAGTTTAAAACCAAAAGTAGTTGTAAAAAGGTTTTTTGGATTTGTTGTTAAAAGTTTTAAATCATTGAGAACATTTTCCGCTTTATTTTAGCGGTTTTGTGAGCAGATCGAACCGGAAATACGCCAAGACTTTAAAGCTCGTCACAAAAATTTTGTCGTTTCTAACCTCATGTTTTCTTAACGTGAACAGCGTCAGGTTCTGCGTGCTGTTCCAGTGTCCGAGGTTCACTACAAGTGGAAAGATAATGACTCCAGGTACTGGGTGTATGGTCATGATCATAAAGTCCACGCTCCAGACTACCCACAAACTTGCTGTTGTGGCTGTACGATTCTTTAAGATGACCCACGCCTTTGCACCTGAGCTATAGTTAGTTTAACAGTAGCCACGGAGGTAGCGACAGCCAGGATGCAATGTTCTTTTCATTTTATTCCCAAAAGAAGAAAAATTCTGCTGTTTTGCCCCACACCACATGGCTGCCTTGAAACCCCTCTACAGTATGTGCGATATAGTGTGTAGTCATTAGTAGATTTATAGAAGTAGTTATTTAGCTTGCAAATTAATGATAGCATAGAAAATATTATTCTTATTTTTTAGATGTCACTTAGATAGAGACAAATAAATCGATGGTCAAAGATAAAAAAGAAAAGAAATGCGCGCTATGATACCACAGGTAACCCAATAGTAAGAATACTCGAATGAAGGGTTAGCGAATATTTCTATTTTACTATGCATGCATCAAGAGTTCTGCACTACTGCTCTAAGCGCATTCTCAATGGGTCAAAAAGTTGGATCATGGGTTGTAAAGATTACTATATTTCAATTTTATTTTTTTAATAAAGTACAATTTTCATTAAACTGTGCTTGAATTAATTAAATTTTCGACCCATGATCTCACTTTTTGACCCCTTGAGCATGGCCTTGTAGCAGTGGTAGCGCGGGACTCGTGATGCATATATAGCGATTGTTACCATTTTAAAGTTCTTTTATAGTGTCTTCGTTCGTGCCACGCCTTCCCATGTCCAATCAAAGGTCGCGTATTTTACATCCTTTTATTATTTTGCCGTAGTTATGTCGTTATAAAGCAACGACACGGTCACGACACTGAATTGACGAAATCCTTTGACTAATCACATTACACGAGAGCTATACTCAGCTGATGAAAATGCTCGAAAACGGCTTATCACGACACGGCATTCACAGGATTCATATTTTCATTCAAGTATATTTTTTCTAATATTAACCCCGAAACTGACATTTTACATTAACCCAGGTCATGAATGTTTTAAATCCATACAAAAAATTCTCTAGATAGCATTGGATAGTATAGATATATTATGTCTTCGGGAAATAACATGCCATCATACACCGGCGTCATTCAAATTAAAACATTCTTAACGCGGTTTATTTTTCGCAAAGGCTCTCAAGCGGGATGGGTGGAAGGAAGCCGAGACCTGCTACGCTAGGTCTTATAGCTTATTAGAAATATTGGGAGAACTTTCAAATCGAGATCACCAAGCAAGTGATACAGCATTCTTGCACCCAAGCCCATTTCAGCTTTCTAACAAAAAATCGAATTTCGCTTAAGAGGGCATGGATTGGACAATAGGTGGGGAGGGGGAGGAATTTGCATTAACAAACAATGGAAGCCAAAGGATCTTACACTATTGAACAGTGTTTAGTTAATCATTTTTCATGAGTTCTCCTACATAAATCTGTTTAAGTCATTACATTTCAATTCAACGAGACATCATTAAAAAAATATTTGACGGAAGTTTATAGTAACCGCTGAGCGGTACGAACAGAAGGCCCGGAGAGGATGTGGATTTTTATGAGAGAGAATTTTAAGAGGAAGTGGACATACCACACTGCTTTACCTAATTATGACTCACTGCATTGGGTTTACTGAAATTGTGCACGACACTGTGGTTTTAATTTTAATTTCGAATATATCAAAAATACATACAGCCTTTTACATGGACTCTACTTTGCAATACAGCGGTGTCTTTACGAGTGTTTGGGTTGCGGCTGATGGTGTTGGGGGAAGTAAAAATGCACGTATCCCAGTTTTCCATTGTATGAGTAAACATTTATATGAACGTACTAAAACAGGAAACAATATTTGGAAAAAGAACTTGATTTTTATCCCACACGCATTTCAATAGCAGATTATTACCTCAAATCTTTCGTCCGCGTCTCGCTGCCTCCGACTACTACAAAACCAATCGTCCTTGTTTTACGAAGGTAGCACTTAGTATCCAGTGGCTAACAAACCTGTGGCCCTCGTTCCATGATAGTAGGTGATTTGCGAAGGGAGGAAAACTGGAGCATGAAAAACTCTCAAAGTAAAGGAGAGAACCAACTAGAAATTATTTTCATACATGACACCGAGTCCTGAAATCTAACCCGGACAGCAATGGTGAGAGGCGAGCGCTTTCACCGCTATGGACGTACCGTGCCATGCCGTTCTCGTGTTGGTACCGTGACCGTGCTGCCCTCGCAGCAACGTTTAGCGTTCTGATTGGATAACTAATTTCACATACTTTGCCGTTGGTTGACATGAATGCAGCATTACCGTGCCGTGCCGTGTGTCGCGGTTTCACAGACATACTAAATTATCACTTGGTAATGAAGTATGTTAACAGACTTAATCTACTGTTTTCCCGCCATCCCTAGAGTATCTTTTTTTTTTGGTTTAACGGTTGCGCATCAAAGGCGGATCTAGAGGGTGGGGGGGCAAAGGGAGCTGAAGCCCCCCTTCAGCAGAAAAAAATCAAAACAAAACAAAACTGAAGAATTAGATGCTTTTTTTAATCGTTTTCCGTTGTGTTGACGGAAGAAACTCAATTAGCCCCCCCCCCCCCTAAAATTTTGGCTGGATCCGCCCTTGCGCATGTGAAGACACATGAATATAAATACACAACTCAAGCAAAGAATATTATTCTCAAGAGAATAACACGTGGTGTGAAACGGGCAAAACATTTCGCCAAAGTAATGTAGGCCCACTGTCGAAATAGCGGTTTCAAGGTTCTAGAACGGTTGTCAGTCGTTAAGTAATTAATCTGACCGGCAGTCCATGCATTTAGACCACTGCTGTGTTCAATAGTTACTGTGATTTGAACTTGAATTCCATGCAGTTGTTAAGTTTTATTTTAGTCTCACGTCTGTTTTTGGCGTTTTGCCTTTAGACGAAAGGATGGTTCTGCCAAAGGCTTTTGTCGCACGATACGCCTACACAATACGTTATGGTATATTTATCTTAGATCCTATCCCGTCAGCGTGAGGATAACTTCCATTTATTAGAGAGAGGGGGGTTCATGGACGCACTATTCCTCTACCCGCACCCTCCCCACCATTAAACTCCAATCTTTGTCAGTGCGTCTGATATAATTGTCGCGTGATTTTGTATAAAGGTCATAAAGCTTGGTAGGATTTGAAAGTCGCTAATCATAAGTAGCTTGACACTAAAAAATTCAAAACCAATCCTTCTTTCATGACGGCTTTTTTACCTTAAGGAATATGATGGGGATCCCTTAGTAGACGCAGAACCATTACGTACACCATACCCCTCCCCTTCCCCAGCCCCCTCTCCCGCCCCCTCACTCCCCTCACGCGCATAGATGAAAAGGCAAGCAGAAAACCTAATTATCCAGTAAATAACTCAGTAACACCTTGCCAACTACCTCTCCCTACCATGGAATCCAAGTTTCCGTTTCATATTTTGATAATGGACAGTTTGTGTATGTAAAAGTGCGACCCTTAGGTAGGAGAAATATTTGGGTCAAGTGGAGTAAACCGTTTCCCGATGATTCACAGCCTGTCTCTCCCCACAACGCGACCATATAATTAAGACAAGGCCCCGTCTAGCCTGAAATATCAAATCCTTTTCCTATTAAAGTTATTGGAAATCCGACGCTTGTCTCGTAAGGTCGAGGTGAATATCTTGCAGGCTGCTGTCCTGCCCATGAAATAAGGAATCAAAATCGACCGAGAAACTTTACACATTCTGAACATGAGACTAACTTTGAAGTGTATATTACTTATTATCGCCACGGTGTCCAGAATCGCTTGTCAAGGTAAGTAAATAAAAGTCGAATTCAAGAGCCCTTTGAAAGCAATAAAAATAGTGTGCTAGACAGGTAAGAATGATCAGTTTGGTTTGAATTCCCGTTGAGACCACGCAACGAACATTATTGACCAAGTAAAATGGTATACACTGTTATGTTAAGCAATATAGAACTTCCGTGGGTGAAAAATCATTGATTCGAGCATATTATATTTTCTTATTAATCATGTCTTGTTTTTTAAAACATCAAACATTATACTCGACTTTGTTGAATTGTAGCACACCGACCAACACACTGACAGTCTTAACGCTGCTGTTAAACCACTTTTACAACTACTTTTTACTACATAGTACAGTCATCATATTGTCATTCCACACAATTGGACAACTATCTGCGCACTTTCAACTGACTCAATCTGGCGGTGATTTCAATACGATTTTTGATTGATTCTACACTGTTCTACCAATGCCACTGTTTTGAATCGTGATGGAAAGTGCGCGGCACAAGTGCCCAAACACGGTATTGAGTAAGATTCACTCGAGAGGATTAGCGTACAATCCGGATCCCGGTTATAAGCCTGGGATTAAGGGCGGGCTTATTATCGAAGGGTGGGGGG